GCGAGAAAGTTCTACCTCTCGAAGTGCTTATGTAAGTACTCATTTGGGGCCGGTTTTGACCGAGGTCATGTGTTCATTTCTTCTTCTTTTTACCTGTGTGTAAACCCCTCCAGGTGTTCATCTTCGTCAAGAAGAATAGGACCTACAAAAGAAAGAGTAGCAATATGGTTGTCCTCACATAGAATATCATCATTGGACAAGATTGGGCCAAGTGTAGTAACAACTTTATAGGATTAGAATGAAACTCCTCATGTCCTGTTCGAGCCTCATATATATCATTGGCAGAAAGTTCCCAGAGCTTCAAATTAGCGGGCACCGACAAAAAGGGATGAACAACGCCTGCGGTTACTGCCTTGTTACAGGTAGCCACTGGGGGCTCATCAATAACAGGTGTAGCCTCAGTGTTATCAGTATATTCAAGATCAATAGAGGTAGCAGTAGCATAAGTTTTTGCATTTGCATATGTAAAGACAACATTGGGGGGAGTTTCTGAGATTTCCAGAAGGGTAACTGGGGCAGGGATTTCGGTGTTATAAGCATCTGATACATCACTAGTAACACAGGGGGCAACAATTGAAACATCAACGGGGCTTCGCAGACCACTGTGGCATCAAAAGCAGCAGAAAGGGGACTTTAATTTCAAAATCTGTCAAGGCAGTTTCCAGGGCAATAGTAGGGGATGGTTCAATACCAGCAACTTTCAAGACAGTGGACTGATAAAAAGCATGTTCACAAGCCTGAACAAGAGGATTCTCCAAGTGAATGAAAGGTGGGGGTGGTTGTTCAGTACAGGCAGCCGAGTGGGTTTCTTCAAAGACAACCACACTTTTTTCTCCATTTTCACTAGCATCAGGAAAAACAAAATCACAGAAATCAACATGATTAAGAGGTTCCTTCACAAGTAGAGGTGGAATGGCCAAATATGGAACAAGAAATGCAGAAGACAGGTACATTTTCATACTTAACAGGCTCGAAAATCAACAACAGAAGAAAAATAACATCAAAGAGCAAAATTAATCCAAGAAACGGGTATAATATATCCAAAGAAACCCCCGGGACTGTTTAATCCAAAGCCTTTGAAAATCAATGTCAAAAGCAAAATAAATCAGTAGCAAGTGCGATATATGGAGCCCCACAGAATAGTTTTGGGAAAACCCTAGGACCTCAAAAGTTTTTCGGGTAGCAGTCAAAGGAGGGCGACCATTAGAGAAGGTGTCAACTAGAGCAAAGCTAAAATTGGAGGATGGATCCTGTCATTCATTGTTTGAGAAGGAAACCACAAAATACCCTTTCAATCGTCCAGGAGGTTTGACGAGGAAGACAAGATCTCTGAAGTTGGCAAAGGAGATTCCATGAGAGCGCAGTCGTTGGCCGAGGAGTGATTCCCTTACCACCGCTACGTACCAGGGTTTTTGTGGCGTGGCAGCGAACTCGTAACTCTCCGCCGGCGGCATTAGTATGCCGCACAGGCGTCGAGAGAGAGGCGATGGCTACGGGAGTTGTAGTGGAAAGGCAGATTGAGTGAAATGTAAAGGAAATGTTAAGGTTATGATTTTATTTAAAATATAAGTTTAAATAATAAATTGAGCTGGAGTGCCATTGTTGTATCTTGACGTAATAATATCAATAATTACTGATATACAGGTGTCATAAATGTGTTTGTGCCACTATAATGTCACTAGCTAAGTGTCATTGTAAGCTGTTTTTCTAGTAGTGATTTTTTTTTCTTCAAAAAAAGTTACCAGATTATTTCTTAATTGTTTAAGACACCCATGCTCTACTTAAAAAGTAGAGTTATAAAGCAACTACCATTTTCACAATTGATTTATTATATTTGCTTCTATAGGTACTTCTTTTACATAAAGATAATTTGATGTTGTTACACAGTTTAGACTTGCAATTTTCTATATGCAATTGTGAATGTGAGTAATAAGTTGGTTGAGCCTAAACTTGACTATATTAGTGCGGCATAATAAAGACCCAACCCGAAGTAATATATTTTTTCTACACGATTCCACCTGGGGTATTCATTTAAATTGTATAAATGTGGGTTGTTTAGCAGTTAACATGAGTCAAACGGGTGGGCTAAGAAAATATAGCTAACCCGCCAATGTGAAACCCTGATTTACTCTACTACCCTAAAGTAATAACGATAACATAGTGTCAAACAATATAAAAAATATATTCTACAGTAAAATATATACCTTCGATAAAAAAAGGTACTTTGTGAAGTTAAAGGGAAAAAATCATTTCCTTAACATGTGTGATATTAAAAGTGGTAGTTTAAATACGCACGGAGGTAATATTTCTTTAGTATTTCTATTTTTTCAACCTACTCAACCTAAGTGATATCAATATTACACACATTTCAAATAAACAAAATCATAAAAGTTAAGACAAATTTGAGGTAAATTTAATTATCTGTATACGATAGTATTTACCAATATTTTTATAAAAGTAAATTATTGATATATATATATATATATATATATATATATATTATCTATACTGATTTTTTCATCGTTTGTGACGTTAGAAAATCAAAGAATTGAAAACTCTCTCGTTTGGCAAAAGAACTTAAAGAAGATATTTGAAAATCATTGAATGAAAAAAGGATGGAGTCTACTCATCACTATCCTTTCTATCCTCTAGTGCTAAAAAGGAAGCTCTATCTTGACTTTTTCTTCATTTCTTTCATTGTGATTTTTTTATGTTATACTCATATACTCCGTTCTTGATTGAAATTCCTTTAATTTACATAATTTTAAAGAAGTTTATACCGTATAATTAATACTTGTTTAAAGATTAAAGAGTTTGAATGACAAGTAAAGGTAATTTAAAACAAATTATACACACTTCTTTCTTGAAGTCTTTTCTCTCTTTAGTACTTGTCGCCTCCAAAATCATTTTATAATCTACTTGTTTCCTCACCATTTTATATATCTCCATTAGATCTTCTCTCTCATATTTCTCTCTACTTATATTTTCCCCAAAACAAGAAACTCAAAGTATTTACATAAAGGCAAGGATATAGAGAGATGGACAACAAGTCAAGCCTTCGGAATAATAATGTTTTAATACTAGTGGTTGTTTGCTTTCTCTTGATTGTACTAGTAGGGATTTTGGCTCATCACAAACACCACAAGTCTACTCAAGCTGACACTGAGGACACGATGATCATGATGATGATTTCTCTTCTCCCCCCTTCGAATAACGTAATGATTAGGAAGACGATGAGACATCGTTATTCTCTTCGTCATCACATTCATAACTCTATCAATTATGTGAGTAAAAGAGTCGTACCAAAAGGACCTGACCCCATTCACAACAACAGGTACTTTCACACTTTTATAAGTACATCATAATATATTATAGTGAGTATATATGTGGGCATTTACATTCGTAGCAATCCGGTGGAAGCAGTCTAGCTCAGCTGGCCGCTGATTCATGAAGTCCACAGTTTGAAACTTCATGTAGAGAGTTGCGTTGCGGCCCTCTTTACCCATGGTCCCCCTAGCCTCCGATCTTGACCCCTAGGGTAAATAAAAAGAAATTGTTAATTAGGAACTCCAAAGATTTTATTGCATTATATAAATTTTTAATAATCTATAAAGCAAACCATTAAAATCATGCATATATCATATATGTGTGTTTGACTATTATAATGTGCCATCATTTTAGTATCGAAGACGAGATTATAATTATATCTAGTACTATACGTAATGTCTACTAACACCATACTATTGGTTTAAAACAACATAGCTGATCCAAGATTTTCATGTAGACTACAATTTCCGGAGGAAGAAATGTAATTAGAAAGAGGTTTTAAGTTTAATAAGATGAAAATTTGAATGAAGGGTAGTGATCTGATGACCCTTGGTATGAAAAGTATATAAGATTATGCATATAATTAGTCCACGTGAAATTGACAATCTATGAATGGAATATAATAATGCGTTGGAGTTCTACATATACTCCATATTTTAATCGATCTGGTTTTAGAATTTAAAGATACGGATTTTATTTTGTGATACACTAGTTTTAACAATTTATGTCTTTGACTAATGTGGATGTCAAATAATTTTGTCTTAAAGGGGCGCACCAACTACTCATCATTAATTTGGAAAAGCTACAATCAACCCTGAACTGTGGAGCTAGCTAGTTAAGGTCGATCTGGTTCGCTCGGATCTATAACCAAGTCGAATGCAGAGTCCATCATATGTAACTATTTTACATGAAGATATGGATAAATATATATATATATATATATATATTGAATAATACGTAGTAATAAATTATTGATTTATGAATAAATATATATATATTGAATAATACGTAGTAATTAATTATTATATATGAATAAATATATATCACCAATTCACCATTATTATTCGTCAGTTCAGGCATTAATGCTGGTTTTGCCTTTGTCAAGTAAAACCGTGATTATTGTAGTGTATTTTCATTTGCAGTTGTAAAGTCTTTAGCCTTTGTTCTACGCTCTCAGTTTCCACAAAAATATTCTCATTTCTTTTGAAGGAATAGTTTGTTTAGTTGGAATTTGTAGACTCTTCAGCGACACTCATAATGATATTTTTTATACTCCGTATTTTCTTAATTAGCGAACGTGTCAAGTTATAGTGGAAGAAAATTTGTGGACAAGCATAACCATCATCTAGGATACTACAAATTAAATTCTATTAATGATTATATGATTGGAAATGAGACAATACCCCATAAAGGGATATATCCTAGATCTGTTTGGTGTCATTTTCTTGAAAGTAAACAACACATTCACATACCATACATGCTTAAGGGTGATTTCTCATTTTACAGGAATACATTACATGAGTTATTGAAACAATTAAATATTTTACAGTTACATTATTTCCATGTGTATTGTTTTCATTTAAGTTGGCACCCTTACGTGGGTCACATGCATGTTTCCTCTCTCCTTCCTACCATCCTATTTGTATTATATATAGCATGAAAATGCTCCAAGATCAATACATATGCATATATTGAATTTCTCTTAGGAGGATTATTCCTCTCTATCCTTCTTTTATATTTTCACCGATATTTATCAATTTGATGGATTTATTTCATTAGAAATATCATCAATTCTTCTCTTTATTTCATTATCATTTTTTTCATGGTATCAGAGCCGAAATCCTGGAAGTAAATTCTTTTTGTGCTCAAGAAAATATGGCATATATATTGCCACATATCCGCCCTTGGATAATTGACTCTGGAGCTACTGAACGTATCACATGAAGTGATAACAATCTTTTTGATATCAATCACACGCCAGAGCCATCTGTCAGAATCCCCAACGGTGAATTAATTCCAGTTCATGTTGTTGGTAGTTTAGATTTACCCAATGGGCTCCGTCTTAAACGTGTTCTGTATATACCAAAATTTCAGTGTAATTTACTTTCTGCTAGTTGCCTAACAAGCGAACTAAATTGCACAGCAAGTGTGACACTCCGATTACGCATCTCAAGAAAGCCAGAAGCATAAGCCTGAAAATACCCAAATTGGTGACTAAAGCGGTGAGGAGTGTAAGGCTCAGCAATGCAATGATCGCGGTAGCGTAATACAAGATAATTAGACCGAAGACTCCTAAAAAGCGCCAACTCAGCCTCTGGAGGATTTTTACCATCGAAGAATGAATATTCTTTGATTCTCCCTGGAAAATTCGTTTGCACGCACTTCTCTTCTCGAGGGATCTCGCTCCACTTTCTCCCGAATAAGAAATCATTAATGACGTCGTGGACTGGATATCATTCTTAAAATGCGTATCAAAGTATGATGCCAACCATCCATAGACATAGTGAACGGGAAAACACGTTCTAACTTGATCAGGAGCTGGAGCATTCGAGATCCGATTAAGCCCATGATAGACACTTGCAAGAACCAGGACCGCAAGGCATACACGTTTCCCTCGAGCCAACATACAAGCAACTCTGAATGTTTCTGGGCGGATAACTCTAGGACCTTCATGCGGCAATACAAATGCACAAAGCCAACACGACAAAAATGCCGCTAAATATACCTCCTCCTCATATTCAGCAGGAACCTTGAGTACGCGGAATGGTACCTTCATAGAATTCGACCATCCTCCAAATTTTGGAATAGCTCCGCTCGGATTATGGGTCGCCTTGGCACGAGACGTTCGTTTCTTTTCTGTTCTGACTGGAGGCATAGTATACTTGGAGGCCTTTCTGAACCAGAATTTGACCCACGCATGAACACGCAAAACACACTTATCTCCGACTTTGGGAAAGAGATGACGATATGCGTGAAACAAATATTTGCAGAGATTAAATGAACGGTCAGCGCTCGTTTTTAACAACTCAGAAGTGCCCAGAATAGATTCATCATATGCGTCTCCTATGATAGGCAATCCTCCGATAACGTGCAAGTCCCAAAGTGTGATCGTCAATTCGCCAAGTGACGTAAGCAAAGTATTCGTCGTGGGACACCATGCCTCACAAAATGCTTGAATAGCATTAGTACATCGGCCATACGTGAATAATGAGGCATAAACAACATCATAAATAAGCCCTTCCTCCAGAACGCTTCTACTCATGCTCAAAATATCCTCGGCCCAGTCCCAATAACCTGTGATGAATCTAAACTCACCACCAAATGATAAGGTCTTTGTCAAAGGGACGTTTTCATCAAGGATGCGTCTACCTAAAGAAAGAAGAATCTCAGAAGAGGACATGTGAGTAAAGCCAGATACTAAAGTCCGCATTGTCTGAGCTTGATACTCGCACTCAGGAGTCCAGTTTGTAACTCGATAGGACACAACCGTTGGACCCCAAAACTCGCGAGCAAATGGCTTGTGCATCTCCAAAAGAATCTCTTCGTCATTCTTCTTGCTCGTTGATATGGAGAGATACTTTTTGCCTCCACGCCTTACGTCCCTAAAATATATCATTTTGGACTGCAAAAAAAATCATTATTCTTATTATTATTACTAAAAAAACTAAAATAATAATGATAATGATAAAAAAAAAGGCCGCTCAGCAATGATAATCAATCTCAAGCCCGAGCAATTTCATCTTCCGCCTAGACGAGCAAAGAAATCAGTAACACTGGCCAATAATTAGTCAAGCTCCTTCAGAATGGACAAAGGTCGAAAGTAGCGGCAACATCTCAGTCTTCAACAGGTGCAATTAGCCGAATTCTCTAGATTGGTGCCACTAGCCCAACGAAGGGCCCCAAGTGACACCAATGATCGGTAATCAGACCAATTCTTTAGATCGGTGCCACTAACCCAACGAAGGGCCCCAAGCGACACCGATGACCGGCAATCAAACCAATTCTTTAGATCGGTGCCACTAACCCAACGAAGGGCCCCAAGCGACACCGACAACCGACAATAGGCTTAACTCCTTCCTCTTCAACAAGTGACACCACGTTCAAATCACTTCAAGTAGCAAAGAAATCAAGCCTCGTTATTATTAAATAGCTCCACCTGTGGAATACAGCCCAAGCCTTTAAAAATGGGAAGGCTTAAATTCTGGACATGCCCAATACTTATTAAAAACGGTCCAGGTTCCCATTCCCTTGGTCGTCTTCACGCAGCATCAAGCAATCGATCGTGCTTTTCTCAATCCTCGCCAAAAACGCAACAAACACCGCCATCAGCTTCATCCGCAACGGCAAAGCATCAGCGAACTCCGCAGGCTGCAGCAACAGCAGAGCATCGGCCTCCCACCATCTTCTCCAACAACAAATTAGCTCCCGACGGCACCGGCGATCCAGCAAAACGACCATCAATTGAAATCATCTACTCCTCCTTCGCACAAGAGGTCTCACGCTTCTAGCCAATGAGCAAAATAGAATCGGAAGAAATCAATGGTGGCTTTCCCAAAACTGCAGAATGTCGTTGCAGACCGGCAAATCACCCTTCATCGATCTCCAGCTCGGCCTCTGACCGCAGACCTTCTCCGGCGAGCGATACCAGCAACCCTCCTCCAGCTCATCTTTCAACCTGCGACGGAATCAGCATCTCACAAGTAACCGCGGCCTAGCTATCAGCATCTTCCTCTGCTAAACAAACAGAGTAGAGTCGGAAGAAATTAGTTGCGGCAGTGCATCATTAAAGCTCCTGAGTTTTGAAACTCGACCTTCTTCTTCCTCAAATTAACACTACTGGCCCTACAACGAACAGGAAGAAGAACGACTTTCCTCTGTCATAAACTCCGAGTATTTTCAGTAATCGACCTCTACTTTCCCGATTTACTTCAAGGTGGTGTCGTTTCAGACCAGCTGATTTGATCGACCTGCGACACAAGAGAAAATAAATCAGATCAAAAGTATATGATTTACCTTAAATTTGCTCTCCTTGATTCAACGAAATAATCTCCCGATCGATGATGTTTGCTGCTTAAATTTGCTGTGGCACAAATAATTTCCTGATGTGTTCTATTTATAGAGTATGAGGGAGTTCAAATTTCGGTACAATTCAAGTGCGAGGACAATTGCAGTCCGAATTTGATATATGCTTAATTTAAGAGATTGGGTCGGTGGAGGAAGGAGAGCTTCCAAAGGTGGAATTATTATTTAGTTTGGATTTGATTAGAAAAAAAAAACTTATGAGGTTTACGGGACAGAGAGAAGTCGAGTTCTTCGCCTTAATTGGGTGCTTCGTGCGGGAATGAAATGTTGAGTTCTTCGTCAAGTAAATTGCACTTTGATTGTCGCACTTCAACACGTACCTTTCTTGATCTATTCCCAACTCGAGCAACATGTTCTTCATCCACAACATCTCCTTGCAAGCTTCAGTAGATGCGATGTACTCTGCCTCTGTGGTGGATAATGCAACACACTTTTGCAGCTTTGATTGCCAAGAAACAGCCCCCCCTACAAAAGTAGTTAGGTTTCCCAATGTTGATTTCCTTGAATCAATATCACCGGTCAAGTCTGCATCTGTGTATCCTTCTAACACAGGTTTTCCTTTTCCAAAGCATAAACAAATTTTGGAAGTTCCACGTAAATATCGGAGGATCCATTTGACCGGTACCAAATGTTCACTCCCAGGGTTGGCCAAGAAACGACTAACGACTCCAACTGCATAGGCTATATCTGGTCTTATGCATATCATTGCATACATGAGGCTGCCTACTACAAATGAGTATGGAATCTTCTTCATTTCCTCCTTTTCTTTCTCACTTGTGGGACTTTGCTTCGAACTCAACCTAAAGTGTCCAGCAAGTGGTGTGTTTACCGGCTTTGATTTGTTTATGTTGAACCGTTCCAACACTTTCTCAATGTACCTCTCTTGGGATAGCCACAACAGTCTCTTCGACCTATCATGAGTTATTCTCATCCCAAGGATTTGTTTAGCTGGTCCCAAATCTTTCAAGGCGAAACTTTTGCTTAGATCTTTCTGCAAAGCATCTATCTTTACGCGATCATGTCCAACAATCAACATATCATCAACATAGAATAGAAGTATGAGAAAATCGACAATTACATACCTCTTTATAAAGACACAATGATCGCTCTTTGTCTTTGTAAAATCATGCTCTGCCATGAAGGACTCAAACTTCTTATACCACTGCCCCGGTGCTTGTTTGAGGCCATATAAACTCTTCATGAGACGACATGTTAGGTTTTCCTTACCCAAAACTTTGAACCCCTCGGGCTGCTCCATGTAGATCTCTTCCTCTAGGTCGCCGTCAAGGAACGCTGTCTTAACATTGAGTCGTTCAATCTCCAAATCTTGCGCCGCTACTAGGCCAAGGACAACCTGGATGGATGACATCTTTACTATAGGAGAGAATATTTCCTCAAAGTCGATGCCTTTTTCTTGACTGAATCCTTTGACAACTAACAGAGCTTTGTAGCGAGGCTTTGAGCTACTATCTTCGGTCTTGATTCGATATACCCACTTATTCTTCAAGGCTCTTCTCCCTTTTGGTAGATCCACAAGTTCATAAATGTGATTCTCATGCAAGGATTGCATCTCTTCTTGCAGGGCTTTTCTCCAATCTTCTTTATGAATATCATGGATTGCTTCTTTATAACTTTGTGGCTCCCCTCATCCATGAACATCACATACTCTTCGTTGTTGTACTGAGTGGATGGTCTTTTCTCCCTTGAGGATTGCCTCGGCTCTGGTGCTGACAGAGAACTAGATTGAGGATCTTCCCGAGTTGATTCATCATGAGTCTCCTGGTTGTTTTGTTCTAACACAGGCCCATGGTCTTCAGCATCATTATCTTGAGGTGTGTCATCTTCACGTCGAACTGGAGTATCTTCGGTACTCTTGTTGCCTCTCAATCTTGGCTTCTCCAAATTCTTAATGTCTTCCATTGTTTGATCTTCAAAGAATACAACATCTCTGCTACGGACAACCTTTTTATTGATTGGATCCCATGGCTGATACCCAAATTCATCCTTGGGTGAGTGAAGGTATATACACTCTTTCGTCTTTGCGTCAAGCTTAGCTCGCTCATCTTTGGGGATGGAACAAATACTCTGCACCCAAACTCCTTGAGATGATTGTATGAATCTCTTTTTCCCGTCCATACTTCCTCTGGGATATCGCCATCCAAAGGAACTGATGGTGTGAGGTTGACGATGTCAACTACAACCATTATAGCTTCTTCCCAAAAGGACTTGGGTAACTTAGCTTGAGAGAGCACACAACGAACTCTTTCTTTAATTGTTCTATTCATTCTCTCAGCTAGCCCATTCAATTGTGGTGTCTTGGGTGGAGTCTTCTCTAGCCTAATGCCATATTTTTTGCAATAGACTTCAAATGGGCCTCTATATTCACCTCCATTGTCAGATCGTACACATTTGATCTTCCTTCCTGTCTCATGTTTTACAAGAGCGTGGAATTCCCTTAAAAGCATCAAGTACTTGATCCTTTGATTTTAAAAGGTGCAACCATACCTTCCTTGAATGATCGTCAATGAAGGTCACAAAGTACAATGCATCACCAATAGATCCCTCGAACATTGAGCACACATCAGTGTGTACAAGGTTGAGGATGTTCTTTCTCCTTGTGGGTGGAGAAGATCTTTGGAAAGCAACCCTGTGTTGTTTTCCAGCTAAACACTGTGCACAAGGATCAAGTGAGTTACCTTTCACATTCGGGAGGAGTTTCTTCCGAGCTAGTATGTGGACACCCTTCTCACTGATGTGGCCAAGTCATTTATGCCATAGCTCCATGTTATAAGTGGTTATATTTACCTCTCCTTTGCAGAGCTTAGCTTGCATCACATACAATGATCCTTCCTTCTTCCCTCGAGCCATTACCAGACTTCCTTTGATGAGCTTCCACTTTCCTTCACCAAAGTAATTCATCAGACCAGCATCGTCTAGCTTTCAAGCGGAGATAAGGTTGAGGCGCATGGCCGAAACATGCCTCACATCTTTGAGAACAAGTTTGCATCTCGTTCTAGATGTCAGGACGATGTCTCCTATCTCAACGATCTTGCTTTTATCTTGGTTTCTCAGTTGAACCGTACCAAAGTCACCTCTTAACGATCTTGCTTTTATCTTGCTATTTAATACCGACAAAGAAGTTTGAGATTGCTGTCAAGGTGCAGGTTTGCTACAACCCCCCAATTAAGTCGAGAGGGAGATATCGTTGGGATTCCTCCTTAATTGGAGAGGTTCTAGAAAATTCTAGAGCTTTCTAGAGAAGTATAGAATTTTCTAAAACGTTGCGGAGAATCCTAGAGAAGTCTAGAAATCTCTAGAAGCTTGCAGAATAGTGTGGAATCCTCTAGAATATTCTGGAGATGTGTGGAACCTTCCGAAATCTTATGGAAGAGTATGGAAGCATATGGAAGGGAATGGAGAGGTGTAGAGATTCCTTGGAGTTCTCTAGAATATGTAAACATGTGTAGAGCATTCTAGAGAACTACTCTTCATCATTCATTATGGAGGTGGAGTAGTATAAATAGGAGTAGGAGCCTCCATTCCAAACCATCCTAGCAAGAGAGAAGCCACTTCCTAGAGTGAGAAAGCTAGAGATATAGAGAGCCTTTTTGAGAGAGAAGATAGATAGCTTGGGAAGTCTCTATCCTCAAGCTTGAGTGAACCAGTATTCAGTGAGACAATTTTGTAACATCCTTGTAAATCCCACTATTCTTTTGTATAGTGGAAGAATCTCCATATTGGAGAATTTAAATCGTGTGCTCCCATTACTATCTTAATTCCTAAGTGCCTATCTTAACTTCATGAAGCGGGAAAGTCTGGAGTTTTTCCCAACAATAGGTCAGATCTAATCCCCCATATTTTTGTTTTTCTTCTCTGTTTATTTGTATTCTCATGTTTTCAGAAGGTATGCCTTTTGTGGAGAGGTTTTGGTCTAATCCTCATCTTCTTTTATACTTTTTTTTTATACTTTCAATAAAAGCTGGTAAATATTCTCTGACATTTACCCTACCATATGGTTTGCCTATCGGGTATGAAAAATATATGGCTAAAATAAAGACAATGAACAAATAGAAATACGTAGTACATGCTACGTAGTAAATTTAGCAATAAATTTATGGAGTAGCATATGACTCCCTTATGGAGTCATATGTGGCTTCTCAATAGCCATTCGTATGTATAGTGAGGAGTCCCACTTTAAAAATGAGTGGATATGGTGTGTCCATCTATGACATATGATTCCATAAGGGAGTCATATTCTACTCCATAAAATTTCACGTAAATTTTGTGATCATGATAACGTTCTACTTAAGTTATATTTTTATTCATCATCACACTTATTTAAGTAACATTAATTTAACGAAAAAACTCTATTAAATATTATCTACTTGTCATAAGATATTAAGGAGGTTTTTGGATCTGATTCTTAAAAGTGCAGAAGTACTTCTGATGCTCTAATTCACTCCTAGAAGCAATTTTTATTAAAAATTGGGGGGACCAGCTTCTGAAAACTGATTATGATTCTGTTTCTGCTTTAAGAAAGAAGGAGAAGCAGAATCATTTCCAAATAGCCCCTAAAATACACAACTTCATTACTTCAATAAGAACAGAAAAGTCACCCCTCTGTAACCTTCGAATAAAATATGATAAAACTCCAAATAAACCTTATTTATAAAATATGATAAAATATAAATAAAAACCCAAATAAATTCTACACATATTTGAGACCAATAATATTATGTAAAAGGTTGACTTTGTCTAAATAAATTAAAATGAGTATAAAAAGACGTCACATGACAAAAGATAATTGGGATCACAATGGGGCGTCCCATAACTTACCTTGGGCGGACAAGAGGGAAGGGAGCTGCACAAGACACAATTGACATCAAAATGGGGCCACCATGTCAATTTGCACACAAATTGAATGCTAGAAAAATGCCTTACAGTGACACCAAATTAGTGTCACTGAAAGTTTGTGCGACACTAAAAATGTGTCGCTGAAAGTGGCGGCTAGTGACACTACAAGTGACACTTTTGAAGTGTCACTACAAGTGTCACAGAATTGTGACACTACGATATCACAATATAGTAACACATTGGCGACATAGCTATTCGGCGACACTTTTACATCATATACTCTAGTGACACTAAAGTATCGCTAAATAGTGATACCTTGGCAACATAACTATTCGGCGACACTTTTATATCACATATTCTTGTGACACTGCGGTATCAAAATATTCTGTTTTCCATTCAAAAAACATGATACTTTAGTGACACTTTCGTATCACTTTGTTTTGCATTGTGACGTGCACTTTGTCACGGTGCGTCAAAATAATTTCAATACTACCACTTATACGTAGTATAGTGAAGTAGAGTTCGTATCCACATGGAAAGGAATACTTCTCTTTTTACGAACTAGTAACTAAAAGGGGGGGTTTTGGGGTTGAATGAATTAATTTAATAAGAAACTAAGATGAACGACTTATATGAGATTTAATTCAAAGATAAAAAGGACTCTGCATTGCTACTTTCCACTTGTTGATATATTTTAGTCGATCATTGTTATATCTATAACTTATTCCCTCTCGAATACTCAATCGAGGAGTATATCCAATTCATCGAGGGTAGTTATTAACAACGTCCGTTCATTAATAACCCTTACTATTAGTCAAGTATAGAACACCGCCATATACTGACTTGATAGTAGCATTTAATCTCTAAACTCCTTGATGAAATCAATTGAGATTGATAACCTCAACGCAACGGTTTCGGTTTAACCAACAAATTAATCCCTCTTAAGTTTATCAACCACAACCGTGCATTAATAAACCGAAGTTACTTACTTGTGAAACCATCAACGATTAACCATCGGTTCGTCGATCGTTTCTAGTAATAATTAATATATGAAACAAAACTAGTTGATCCTTTAAGTAATGTTCAAAATATTAATATGAAATAGGAATAGGAATTAATTAATATTCAAGGAAGAATATTATTAAAGGAGATGAATCCTACTATAATTAATATCAAGATGTTAACTAATTGTCATCTTAGCAACACTCCCCAACATTAATATAG